GTGAGATGCCTGTATTCAAAAAGAAATCAAATTTCTAACAGCTCCAGCAGGGTCTGAATTCTTGAATCTAAAACAGAATGACAAGCCTAGAAATAGGTGGTAACAAAGAGATAGAGTGGTTGGCTTGACTTTGAGCAGATAGTGTAACTAAGAAAGATACATAACACATGACTTCCTGAGGCTACCCATGTTGCCCAGGGAAGCATCTCAACAAAGAGAAAAAAGCAACAATCATCTCTGTCAAGTGAGGGTGCTCTAGACCAATAGTACCTAGGAACCAGGTGAGTTGATAACTAATACCTAAAAATTGGGTCTCTATTAAAACAACAATTGTACTTCAAATCTGTTGATCCTCCCACAAAAGACAAAAATATTCATGTACTCAGCATAGATCTTTTTAATTCAGATTGTTTACCTTGGATTAATTCTAGTATCATCTACACACACATAAAATTCATTCATAACACAGTATTTCATCCATTGACAAGGCTCTGTGTACACAGGGATTTTTTGGGTCTTTCTGCTACCCAGGGGCTCACGGTTCATTTTAGAAATTAATAAATTATATTATCTTGCAGGAGACTTCAGTCTTTAAAATGTTAAGAATCTATGCTCATAACAATAATTTTTAAAGCGCCAATTGCATTTACCAGAGAAGTATTCAGTGTATCTTTGAAAGGTCTCTGTTAACATTAGTTAGAATAAAGTTTTGGTATAAAAGTCAGGCTGACTGCTTCTGTGGATCACTTCTCTCCTTGACAGTGAACCTGACATTGAACCAAGGAGGCAGTTGATCCATTATCCTAAACCTTCCTTTATCCATGAACCCTATTATTGCTCATATTAGAGGGGAAAAAAAGTAGTTCTATTTCATTTTCTCCAAGGAGTTCCAAAAAGCCTAGAAAACCTCTGCCTGAATCTTATCTCAATCACTAAAAATCAAAGTTGAAGTCAAAGTTAGTCAAAGGAATTGAGGAAAAAATCTGAATTCCAGGCTTTCAAGAAAATAAAGAACAGAATCCAGTGCCAGACATCATATTTTCCCCTAAAAAGGCATCAAAAAAAGGTGTCTCATTAGAGAAGCTGGTAGACTAACAAGAAATCATAAGGTTATATGAGGTCTAAGAAGCTGGCTGGCCCTGAGTGGTCTGGCCAAGATTATCACCAGATTATAAGACCCTCTGTTCTTACCACACCACACTGTTCAACTGCTGTAGTAAGGTTATTTCTAGCTGCTTTTTTATATACGTATTTCAATTGAACTTATTTAATACTTACTTTTGGGTCACTTGAATTTATAAATGACAGTGTCCAAAAGTACAGTGTCCTAATGATGTGTGTGTGCATACCTGCATATACACCTATAGCTGTGTACAGACCTGAAATTTCTTTAGGAGATTTTTTAACTTGTAAGTGACATTGAATCTGTACTATACACAATACTAAGTTTTAGTTGCAGTGGTTCAAGAGCAAAACATACACCATTTTGTTCCTCTGGGCGATTTTTAGTATGATTTTTAATATAATGAATCCACCCTGAAATAGGCTGCCCCTCCACCCACACTTGTAAAAGTCACAAGTACAGAATAAATTGAGGACCTCAATTCTGCTGAATGTGCCAATTTCTGATCTATTTAGACATTTTTTAAAGAGTTCTTAATGCTGCAGCATTTGGAGGTACTTTGGGGGTGGCTCCGTTCTGAAGGGAGTGATCCCTGCTGGCTCTTCACTGGAGTCAACAGGCAAGAGCTTTCAAGAACGTCTGGCTATGGTCACTCCAGGGCAGCTATACAAGCCTGACGAGCTTCTCAGCAGTCTGTTTCTACTGCTCTTCCCTCCTGACTCCTAAGAACTTTATTTATTTATTTATTTAGCCTCTATGTCCATATCTCTCACGTGTCACCACTCTGTTATTTCTTTTAAATGCAGAGATGGGACAACCATTGAAACTCAGCTGCTAGCCACCTCATTCATTCCACAACTGTGTGGCCTGTTTCCTTACAGACACTGCCCGTGCTATTTATGATCCCCTATGCTGCTTTAGAAATGACCAAACAAATTACCCCAGTATAAAAGGTGACACCCAAATCAGCTTTGAGGCCACCAGACAACAGACTTGTCTTCTTCACCCCAAAGTGGCACCGTTGGCAGGTCACCTGTCAGCTGTTTCAGTCTCCTCCCTATGGGAAGACAAGCCTGAAGTGTCTGCAGTCCTCACTTGTTTTTGTAGAAGGGAGGCATTTGCCCAGCATGACTGTCCTTTAACGTAGATTTGATGTTCAGCCTGACTCCTAAACCCCTGGCCCTCTCTGCAAATAAATCAGAAGATTGGTACCAGGCCTTGTGCTTGGTTGTCCCCACAGCTTGATTCCTAGGGAGGTATTACAGAACTTGGTGGCAACTGTAGAAATCAAAAGGTTCTCTCTCTGATATAGAGGATGTGTGGGGTCTTTAGTAGAAAGCCATTGATTAAACAAGGCCCTAGTATCTCAGGTACAATTGCTTTTTTTAGTTAGAGGCAAAGACCAGGTTCATGCCCTATCCCCTGTGACTTTAGTTAAGCACAGGGAAATGCGGGAGGGGGAAAAAAAACTGTATAGGTCTCTATGTGCAAATCTCTATAAGCTCATTAAGTTAGGTAAACATAGCTCCAATCTCAGTAGCCAGTGGATTGGAGTGGATACTAGGAGCTTCCCTAAGRATGCCCAGGGGGGTGGAGGGAAGCATTGATTTTAAGAAAATTTTAGGTAAAAAGGAGAAAGTTGGCTCCATTCAATAATGGAATTCATCTGCTGCATATGTATTTTTCTCAGCATCCAAACAAAGATAAGGACCATCCTGGTAGTTATCAATTAGTTATCCATGCAGTAATGTTCTCTCGTAAGCCTAGGTGCAGAGCGGTTCCACCAGCTCTGAACTGTGGTACGCCTCCTTGGCACGGCCTGTTGTCACCCTAATCCCAGCTAGGCTGAAAGACCCCCACATTTCTACTTGGGGGGATACACCTGGCTGGCACCATTCAAGGCCCCCACCTGCAGAGGTACCAGAAAGCAAAAAATTGTCTAAGCTCGAGTGTCCGGCACTCAGGGCAGCCCCAAACAAGTCTGCCCTATTTTATAAAAATACTTAGACAGGCATGAAATGGATTTTCCGGATGTCCAGCTTTCCTTCCTATTGGCTTCTCTCTTCATTTTTTGCTGCTGCTTCCTTTTTATTTTTTCCCTTTCTCCGCTTTTTTTATTTTTCAGCTTTTTCCCCCCCATTCTTTGTTTTTCTTTTGCTAATTCTGCTCCAAATCAGGTAGCAATGCATGTTTCCAGGAAGCCTTTTTAATTAGTTGTTCTCCAGTCTAGTAAAAATGAAAGCTGTTAGTGTCATTAAAATATAAAATAACCCCATTGCATATTTTAAGGGAGATGATAATTCCTTGCCTTTGATAGAATCTACTCAAATTAGAAATTTTGGGGGTTACAAATATAAGCTCCACAGCTTCCTTTTTTTTTTTTTTTTGGTAAATAAAAGCATTTCTAGCTCTTCTGGTTGTCACCCTTCACACACAACCTTCTGGCCACAGAAGGCCAGATGGAAACATTGACTACCGGGGTATGAGCTCTGTTGCCCTCCAGGCTGGCCAACCATTAGCAGCCCCTCATACCACTGCTTCTCCAGACGCCCAGCCTTTTGACTCTGGTCTTTATCTCTTAAGTTGGGGGCATAATAATCTGCTGCTCAAGTGTCTATGGGTACTGCCCCCCGAGAAACGCAGCTCAACAACGAGCAAGCCCTCTCTCCACTGGGATGTCTGATCTACCTGCTAGAAAACACAGAAGGTTAATGCCAGCAAAGAAGTACCCGTCTGAACTTGGGAGAGCAAAAGCCTCACTGGAGGGGATGGAGCCTGAGACAGAATTTAATGGCTTCCCTGAAAAATGTTTAAAAATTCATGTGGCTCAATTCCATGTTAGTACAGCAGCAGTCAAAATAAACTGGACCTGTCTCAGGCACTGGTGCTGAGAGAGTGTTATGAATAGACTTATTTTGTAAAGTTGTCACTTTACACACCCAGAAAAACCAACCAAGGGTAACATCGGCTCCCTCGGCATTGATGTTGGTTAAATCCCTCCTTTGAATGCCTTCAACTTAATTTGGCTAGTTATGTGAGTTTTGTTGCTTTTTCCTAGTTTTCTGGAAAAGAAATAAAAAATGGGAGCTATGCAGATGGTGCCACTATGCAGGAGGACTGAACAGGCTGGTGAAACCTATTCCCAGCTCACAGAGAGCTCTCTACTGGCTTTTGAATGAAAGCCTTGTTACCTGAGTGTGTTTACAGTATAAAGCTTGGCATGAACTGGCAAAGACATGGTCAAGAATCAGCCCTTTCACCCATAGCCGCTGGTGTCCCATATCCTGAGGTCTAGGTGGTGCTGAGCCCTCCCCAAACCAACACTGTCCTTTAGAGGTAGTAGTTACCTAAATCCCAGTTGGAAGAATTAGTCCACCTTCTTCTAGTTCCAACCTACAAAGATCCCCAAATGGTGACCAGCCTACCCATTCTTCAAGAAGTCCTCCCTAACAACATGGGTAACGTCAGATTTTTGTACTTACCAAAAAAAATTGTCCAGCACATGTTAGCTTCATTTTGGGCAGATGACCACTTTGCCAGGCTGTCATTCTTGCCTGGTGTGAGCCCACTGCTCCAAATCCTGATTTGTAGAGTTAGAACTAAAACTAAATCCAGACCCACAAAGGCTAAGGCCATGTGTGTGGGCACCATAGGTTTGGCCTCCTCAGAGCAACCCCAAGTCCACCAAACAATCCCCACAGCATCCTTGTTAAACACCCGGAGAGAAGGACCCTCCAGGCCTGCATTCAACCTGCGGCGCCCATGGGTGGATTGTCAGACAGCAGTATCTCTCAGGGTGCAAAGGTATTGTGGGTTCTTCTGCGTCCCAGGCTAAAGGGGGGGGAATAACCTATTTCATTTTATTTTTTTTTTCCAGTTCTCTCAGGCCAGGCACACCACAGCCCTTTGAAACGATCTGTGTCCCTTACCCCACCCATGAATGTGCCAAACCAGCCTCTAGGACATGGATGGATGTCTCATGAGGACTTACGAGCTAGAGGACCCCAGTGCCTCCCATCCGATCATGCCCCCCTGTCTCCACAAAGCAGTGTAGCCTCTTCAGGAAGTGGTGGGAGTGAACACTTAGAAGATCAGACCACTGCTCGTAACACATTCCAGGAAGAAGGTAGTGGTATGAAAGGTGAGTGACCACACGAGGAACCACTGAGTCCCTCCCTTTATTTGGAGTCCCAAGGGTAAAGAGCTAGTCAGCAAGAGAGCAAGAGCCCAGTGCCTCTCCGAGGCTTATGCCTGGAAGCCTCCCCTTCCAGAACTCCAGGGCTTGCCTTGGTGGAAAGGGCTCCCCCTTCCAGGGCTTCCTGCCCAAGCCCAAGGACCAGAGTAAGTGAGGTCAATACCTTCCATTTTGTTTTCCATGCATTGACCCTCAGGCAACTGAACGGTCCCCTGCTAGCACTAGCAAGGGACAGGGTCATCTGTTTGTAAAGCCTCCAAAGCTGCTCCAGCCCTCTGCCTTGTTGCCGTGGCCAGGGACCTGTCGCTAATTCAGAAAAAAAACAACCACTGATCTTTTATCTATTTTTCTTCTCTAAATCTCTCTTAATGCAGAATTGCAGTTGTACTTTCCTTTCTCTCTCCCTTTTTCTTTGATATCCAAAGAAACCTTTAAACCCTTTTCCCTGCATTGGTTTAAGGGACAGGAAAACACCTCTGAGAATCTCTGGTAGTGTTTTAAGCCTGATAATAGATTTGCAAGATAGGTGATAAAGGCCTTTTGTGCAGCCTAATAAATATTCCTATATTGCCTGGAGAATCTATCCTCTTCTCAAGATCTTCATTAGGAGATACAAATTTCTCAATTACCCATGATCCGTTCAAAGAGGACTTGTGCGTGCATTTATTCTTAGACTCCAATTGTTCAAGAGTTAGAGGTCCTTAGGGAAAGACGCTCATCAGAGACCTACTGATAACTGTTAGATGGGGAAACAATCACCAGGACACCTTTGGGACTGAAATACAGCCCTCTGTGCCAGCATGAACACATAGCCGCAAGGGATGCTGTTTCTGACTTCCCCTTCTGTAATCACTGTTGACATAGGGTGCTCTGGACCCAGTCCCCTCCCCCTCATGGGAGCCTGGCACAGAAAGCCTGCCCACCACTGCCCAGGTGCCAACTGTAAGAGGACACTAGGCTGAAAAGCGGAGCCCACGGTCTTAGGGAATGAGACCAGCCTTCAGTCTTCCACTCAGCTGCTTAGGCCTGTGCCCTCCCCATCACACCCCCATCCCATGGCAGTTCCTGTGCTGAGTGACCCTAGGAAGTAGGATGTATCTTGAAGTTTGCTACTGGTGATACATACAGGTTTCTTTAAAGGTACTTGACAGGCAGCAAAAACAATGAGTCTTTCTGGCATGGAGGAATTGTACATCCTCTTCTCTTTCATGTTTTTTTTTTTTKKKGGGGGAGACTGGATCATAATTTTGGAGAACTAGCAAAACCCATTATGGAGTTTATACATGGTCCTGGTGTTCATGCAGCTGAGCCCCAGATGACAGATAGCAGGTGAGGCTCAGCTATGCCCTGGGTAAGCCTGACTTGGCACCTATCACTGAGCTTTGAAATACCGAGGGACCACTTTAGGCTAGCTTCTGAGCAGGTAGATTTCAGCATCTGGATGGTCTGTTTCCAGGACAGTGTATTTGATGTTCTAATCAGTAACTCTGTGGGAGGAGGCATTGGTGTGTGTGTTGAGTGGCAAGAGGATGCTGTGGCAAGGCCATTCTCCAAGGTACCTGTCCTTCCCAGGGGAGAACACTGATCCCACTGTAGGAATTTTTGCACATTTGTTTTCTTTCTTCCTTTTACTTTATTTTCTTTATTTCTTTTTCTTTTTTTTTAAGGACTTAATGCACATACTACACATCCCCCAAAAAAGTAGGTAAAGCCATGCTCATTGTGTGTTGGCATTTTGGGGTAAGAAATGAATAAAGAGTTTTTTGAGGAGTCATGAGTGAGAGAAAAACTGAATGAATGTCCTATTTCTGTTTTAGGATAAAAGCCAAAATCTTCCAAAGTTCAAGGACTATCTCCCATATGTATAAGCTTATTTGATTCCTTTCTGAAGAATTGGTGAGAATTGTCTCCTCGGAGCTTATGTAATCAGAAAATGACTCAGACAAGATCTCACACTGAAGATTTTCTTTATAGGCCCATGCATATTGATCAGAAAACAGGCTTTTTGATGGTTGGAGGAAACAAAGCATCCTTTTCCATGTATTTACACCTTCTCAACCTATTTAACTTTTCTTCTCCCAGAGAATTGGATTGAGATTCAGGGTATAAAGTCACTAGCATATTAAATGGCAAAAAAAAAAAAAATTGAAGAAAGGAACGTCATAGACAAGAAAGGGTTCTGTTTGTAGGGAAAGTATATTTGCAGCTCAGCTGACAAATCAGAGAGCAGAAAAGTCCATACCTGAAAATTCTAGCATTCCAAAGTGTCACAGGACCAGTATTTAACACAAATGTCCTTATCCAGCCCTGCTGTGAGGTGGCCACCACTAAGAACTCATCCACATSAAAGATCATTCAAATCAGCTCCTAGGAGTGTGTCCAAGAAGCTCCCTGTAATATACCTGTCCCAAGGGCCTGTCATTTGCTTCTTCATGTCTAAAGCAGATGCCAGTTGAAATTTCCAAATTATTTTGTGCTTTTTGGAAAAATGAATTATGAAATCAAGTGAAGTATTTCTAAAAAGATTTAGTGCTTCCTCCTAGACCTCCACGTGCTTATTTTCTTGTTACCCAGGCCCTTTCACAAGAACATGTTCTGCCTCAGGATGCCGTCACCAAATTCTTGTTTTTCTATTTTTTCAGTACCCAACTTATATGAATAAAGTACCTGTAGGAGAATTTGGAAGATTTACCAAATCTTCAGGGAATGCACATTATCCTCATCTCACACCTTAGGAAAAGAATAAAATGCTACCACAATTGAACTTGATTTAGTGCAAATTCATCTTTCTGACCAGCAGGTGTGCATACCTTGCTGAAATGCTATATTCATCCTTTCCTTCCTTTTCCTCTAGATTAGCCAGGTTTGGCTGCAGTCATGCCTTAGGAATGTTCCTCTTGGCAAGAAACCTCTCTCGCCCTTTTTATTTTTCACATGCATTGATCTAGCCTTATTTCTGTTTTGTTATCAGCACACTCTGCCACTACATTCTCTCCCAGGTAGACCAAGTCCTGCTCCCAGAGGAGTGACATCATCTGCCTGTTCCACTTTGTTTTTCCTTTYACCTATCCTGATGGGTTAAGTTGGCTCCAAGTACAGGCAAATCTCCCTTAGAGTTGGGGGGCTCAGGCTATAATTTAAGGCTCAAGAAAGAATGGGACTGACCACTCAACTTGAAATCAACTCAGGAGAGGTGCAATACTGAGGTGAGGTGCAATACTGAGCTTAAATATGAAATTTTCCAGCTTTACCATTCCCCGGGGAGGCTCCTGGTTATACACGTTTGGAGTGAACATGCTAGCTGTGGTCTCAAATTCATTTGTCCTTGTTTTTCCCAAAAATTTCACTCTGMCTTATCCCAAGGGAAGGATTCTTGATTCTGTGAGAGTTGGTACTTGGTTATAATTTCTTTCATTCTCTGAGCAACACAGGATCCAAATGTGCTCCCTTGGCTCTTCTCTCATACAAAGGCTTCAGGGAAGAGAGGGAGAGAGGGAGAAGGAAAGAGAAGAAGGAGGAGGAGAGAAAGGAAGAGGGAGGAGAAAGAACAGAGAGAAAAGACATTCCCATAGTTTCCTAGATAGACAAGCAATCAGTTGGTGGAAGCAACATTTTTGCCCCTCCTATTAGCATCACATCCTCAAATGCGATATATGAACCCAATACCTAAAAACTTCTCCTAATGCCAGGACTGTTGATGAATGGTATGGCTGTGATAGATGATATCAAAGAGAAGGGATATTTACAGGTTCACTTTTGTCTTCATTCGAGTCAGTGGACTCTTCTGAGCACCTACTGGAAGAGACTTTGGACTGATTAACTCTGGGAACACTGAAGCAAGATAGTCCCACTTTGGGGGACTCCCTCTCGAAGGAGCAGAAAACACCTCATGGTTTTTTCTACTGTGAAAATATGTTGTCTTAGAGACTTGCCCTGGGTTGAGGTAGGCACCAGGAAAGGCTCTAGTTCAAAGAGAAGGGAAGTCAAGGTAAGTTCCCAGAAGAGGAGAGGCCTGGAGGGGGGCCTCAGATTGTGATTACAGGTCAGACAGTATAGAGAAGGAAAGGTGTTCTGTGCAGAGGGAATAGGATCACAAAAGCACAGAGAGGAGAGGCGCTTAACCAAGGAGATCCTGTGACAAGAGAGTGAAGGGCACATGGGAGATGGGTCTGGCGAGGGGAAAGCCAGACCCTAAGCCTTTCGAAGGATTTTCTCTTTTAACCTGAAAGCTGTTAAAGGAATTTCTGCAACAGAATGACCTGCCTAGGCTTGCATATTAGAAGCAGGACCCTTTCAGCAGTGTAGCAAGGTATATCAAACTGAGGAGGGGATGGGGATTCTGGATTTGGAGGCCAGTGGAGAAGAGGAGGATTTTTCAGAAATAGAGAAGGAAAATGAAGTTGGCCCAAGGCAAGCAACAGTGAAACTGGAAACAAAGGAGTATGGTCATGGGATCTCCATGAGATAGAGTTGAGAGAGCTTAGGAACTAACTAACTGAATGTGGGCAGTGATGGAGCAGGAGGCATTTAGGACAATGCCCAGGTTTCTGCCTGGGACATTGGGATAACCTTTGGTGTCATCTATAGCAAAGGGCTCATGGGAGGAAAAATAGATAGAAGGGAGAAACAGCATGGGGCATGGTGAATGTGGGAACTTGTAGAACATTCCAGTGGAGGTGTGCAAACCTCTTGGAGGTGTCCCCTGCTCTACAGAGGGACCTCCCTGGCCCAGCCTGGTTCTTCTCTGTCTGCCTCTCCTTATTTGCAATTTCAGCATATTGCAAATCTGTAAGGAAGTTCATTTGAGGAACTTTATTCCAAACATCTGGATAGAAACCCATAGATTTGGATTCTTTGCAGGTGAGTAGTTGCCTGTGTAAGTGGGTAGAGATTGGCAGTATGTTCTCAGTGTAAGCCTCAGCATCACCTTTGCAAATTAACAACTG